GTGTGTGTGTGTGTGTGTGTGTGTGTTAAAACTATTAGGGGTCAACGCTGCATTGTTTGTGTGGTCATGTGAGCTCAGGCTGTTGCTGCTAACCTGAGTCTTTGTTTGCTGTATTTGTTTAGCCGTCTAAACTGATGACCTTGCCTGCTGTAAAATTTCCTCCTGGTCTTCTCCTCTCTGTGTAATGACCTCCACCGGCACTGTGCCCTCGGTTTCACTGGAATCTCAAGGAGACAAGAGAGATGGACGCAGGCAGGAGGCGAACGTTTCACAATTTTCATTCCTCATTCCAAGTCTAATGGAATGACCTCTCAGCTTTACAATGTGCATCTGTGTGTTCCTGAGCTCTGCACACACCGAGCGGCTCCCTGTGTTCATCAGTCACCACAAATAAAGCTCATCCTCGGCTGCATGACTTGGCACACGTCATTGTGCCACACTGATTCTATTCTAAATCAGGAACATGACGATGACAATGAGCGGTTGGACGCCGTGCATACGAGAGACATGTTCTGACAGCTCTCAATTCACTGACGGGGGGGGGATGTTGTGCCATCATGGAAAAATCTGGCTCGTGATCGGTGGTGAGTCACAATTCACGGTTTCCAGGCTGGACAGGCTCTGCGTATCACTTCTAACACCTCGCTTTAAAGAGAGGAGCGTGCACTGGAGCGGGAATGTGGTGTGAGAGCGCTAGTCTGCGGTGGTGATGACGGAGCAGCAGTGGTTAAGTCACAAAGGTGAATGTACCTGCTCAGTTACTTCCACTGTTCGTAGAGATGGACGACATGACAGCTCCCCAAAAGTGAAGGCGAAAGCTGTGTCTCAATTTTGGGGCTGAATCCTTCGGAGGCCGCGACCGCTTGCTTCACGTTGGAGCGGCAAAAAACGAATGCATCCTTCCATATCCGAGAAATGAAGGCTCCAACAGGTGGATTCTCTCTGGGGCCACTCTATCTAAAAAACCAACGGCATTAAAACCTTCAAGTCGTGTCCGGATCTGTTGCTATGTAATCAGGACAGTAATCCTCTGTAGACCAGACGTCTCACTTCGGTTCAGCCTTCACAATCTACCCAGCCCATGAAGTCCGCCTCCTTCACTGGCCGTGTGGACCGCGTCCTCTGAAGGAGTCTTCTGCTGAATCGAGACATGGCTCATGTGTCTCAATCACCACCTTGAGGTCAGCTACAGTATAGGTCATTAATCCCTCCTCCTCCATATTAGTGGATGGGACACTGGTTTCTGTTATTCCATGCTCTAAAAACAGAATGAAACGTCGTGATTGGACAGCTGAGCCTGACTCATCATTGGTTGAGCCAAGATGTCAGCGTTCATATCAGGGATATTTTGGCTTCATTTCTGATTCGTTGGAGGAAGCAGAGACGTGTCGTCCATCTTTACGCACAGTCTAGGGTTTGAACATGTGTCACAGAGAAGTGCGTAAAAAACTCTTCTTTTAGTTTCAGTAAGAGATGCTTCTCCTAAAGTAACCGTCACACAGTGCATCCCCCTGCTCACGTCTTCAGTCGTGTTACTCACCTCTCTGGCCTCTGACTGCGTCTGTACATCCTCACACAGACAAGCCAATACATGCACTCACATCTGTTTGTTTTCTCCTCGTTCAGCTGTGAGGTTTTATAATGTGTTTTTGTCAGACAGCACTAACCGTTCTGCCCGAAGGCTATCATTAAGACTACACCCAGATTTTACTGGAATTTCTTTAGATTAAAAACAACACAAAAAGTGATGTGTAACACATACGAACTCTTAATGACAATGTGCCGTAACTGGTGTTTGACATGAGCCAAAAACAAATGTAAGCTGATGACTGATGTATCATGTGACTATGTGGCTCCTGCCAGAAAATCCATACGTCCCTTTGTCCCGGTGAGGGTTGAGGAATGTCCTGACTGAAATGTCAGCGGTGCAGAAAGGTGTGTGTGAGTGCACGTCAAAGAACCGTATTAGAAATTCCATTTTTTCTTCTTATTTCTTACCTTTAAAGGTAAACGCTCTTGTCATGTGAGTCAGTTTTCTTTCAAATCTTTGCACGACACACTTGTGAAGTGCTTGCCACCACCAAAATACTATTTTCGTGCCATAAAATGCTACACTCAGTGTTTTCACTTCTTCACTTTCACGATAATTGCTTCCTCACTTCGCTCATTTTCACATCTCATATACGTGATGTGCTGTGAGTCCAGCCACCGAGTTAAATCTCAGACAGACCAGGGTTGGCTTTGCTCTTTATTCAACAGAAATTCACATCACGATGGTAATAATCCTCTGGAAGGTCACAGGAAGAGTGCACACTAAGGCTCAACACTCCCGTTATGAAACCACATAAAAATTCACCAGATCTGGATTTCTATTTGCATATGCACAAAGATTTTTTTTATCGAGATGTGTGAATTATTCTATAAGAAAGCTTTTGTGTTGTCCTGCTCACAAATAATTCAACCAGACAGACAGGGGTGAAAATATCCTCCTCAGTGAAGGTAACTTGCAGAAGAGGTTCCAGCTCCCTATACAATTGAATTTGTATCCATGCTTTGTGAAGATATATCAGCTTCTTCTTTCTTGCTTATCGAGTGGCATGTAGGTTTTTCATGTATTTAATAAAGGATCAGTCCTTTTACTCCCTGGATGCTGGTATTCAGTATAAAAACATCATTAAGGTTGAACTGGTTTTCATTTGGTTGAAGTACCAGGAGGTTCTCTTTGCACGTTTGACCTTGTGTTTTAAAAATAAATAAATATTGCAGCTCAGGTCGAGAGCTTTAAGTATGTGTTGTTCTGTCTCTGCCAGGGTTTCTTCAGGAGGACCATCAGGTTGAAGCTGGAGTACGACAAGTGCGAACGCAACTGCAAAATCCTGAAGAAGAACCGCAACAAGTGCCAGTACTGCAGGTTCCACAAGTGCCTGTCTGTGGGAATGTCCCACAACGGTAAGACTGGAACGCTCCACACATTCACTGAATGATTTAACTTGCAATTCATTTGTGAGGCAGTAAAAAAAAGTCAGTTGAACCACTTCTACAGAAAAGAAAGTATTTGCAAGTAAGCACTGGGAGCGCGGTTGTATAAGCTCTGCTCACACCGAGTTCTTTACAATCACAGCAGGACACGTCCTTCTGTGATTTGGCTCCGGTTCAACGTGCTTTACATTCACTGGGTTTTTATAGAACAATGTCCCGCCGGACCCAGCTTGACATTGAGGAAACACAGGCCCGTACACAGCTCCACATCTGGGCTGTCATCTGCGCCGCCCGCCAGAGGGTCACTGGGTTCGTCTCGATGGCCTCCCGCTGCAGACAGAGAGCAGTGTCAGTAACCTGAGAGGGAGACGACATGTTGCCGTCAGAGGAGAGGAACGAGAACACACCACATCTGTTGTGTGTGTGTGTGGGAGTGGGGGGTTGTGTCTGCATGTTTTCTGCAGTGGGAGAACACGTCTGATACGTGTGTGTACTACAGGAAAACTGCTCTATCTGTCGCTAATGGGGAAATGTTTCTACCTGCCAGCCATTCGGTTTGGTCGGATGCCACAGGCGGAGAAGCTGAAACTTAAGGCGGAAAGCAATATGGTGGAGAAGGAAGTGGAAAGCCCCATGCTGGCAGACCACAAGATTCTGGTCAGGCAGATCCATGACGCCTACATGAAGAACTTCAATATGAGCAAGGCGAAGGCAAAGCTCATACTCACCGGAAAAACCAGCAAACCAGTAAAAAAACAAAAACAAAAGTTTCAGGATACTTTTTTTAATTCCGGTCTCCATGTCAGCTCCCAGCATCCTCTCCTCTTTCTCTCCCAGCAGCCGTTCATCATCCACGACATGGAGACGTTCCAGCTGGCCGAGAGGACGTTAGCGGCCCACATGGTAAGCGGTGACCACGCTGAGCCCGAGTGCGGCCTTCAGTCTCGGGATGTGGCTTCGGACGTAGCGTGTGGGGAGCTCCAGCAGAGGGAGGCCGAAGCGAGGCTCTTCTACTGCTGCCAGAGCACGTCAGTGGAGACGGTGACTGAGTTGACGGAGTTCGCGAAGGCCGTGCCGGGTTTCCAGAGCCTTGATCTGAACGATCAGGTGTGTTTCAGGAACTGTACTTGTCACAAATCTTACTGTGTATCTTGATCTCTTTCTTTCTTCCTCCTGTATTTAGGTGACCCTATTGAAGTACGGCGTTTACGAAGCACTCTTCACCCTCCTGGCCTCCTGCATGAACAAAGATGGCCTCCTGGTTGCCCGTGGCGGCGGCTTCATCACACGTGAGTTCCTCAAAAGCCTCCGCCGCCCTTTTAGCGACATGATGGAGCCCAAGTTCCAGTTCGCCACACGCTTCAACTCTCTGGAGCTGGACGACATTGACCTGGCCCTTTTCGTGGCCGCCATCATCTGCTGCGGAGGTAACCAACGCCGATGACAGATGATAACATTTAGAAGAAGTGACTTAAAACCTCCTTCTTCACCATCTTTGTCTCTCTTAGACCGTCCAGGCCTGGTGGATGTACCTCTGGTGGAGCAGCTGCAGGAAAGCATTGTCCAGGCGCTGCAGCTCCACCTGCTGGCCAACCACCCTGACAACACCTTCCTCTTCCCCAGACTTCTGCAGAAACTGGCTGACCTGCGGGAGCTGGTCACTGAACACGCTCAGCTGGTGCAGGAAATCAAGACGACTGAGGACGCTGCACTGCACCCGCTCCTGCAGGAGATATACCGGGACATGTACTGAAGTTAGCACACAGTCAAGAAACAGGGATGTGTATTAAAATGTTGATTAACTTGGTGTAGATACAGTGAACCTAAACCAATATTATCATGCATATCAATGTACTGTAAGTAACTTATTGTGCAGCTTCCATGGATGTGCACTGCTGTGACCGTGTGACTCTAAGAAACAAAACTAGAGATAAATTCTTTTCAGGGGGAACAGCGGCTCCTGTAGGAGACCTGAGCGCTGCTGTGAAAGGGGACACAGTGGGGAACGTTCTCTCTGAACTCAGAAACCATAGATGTGGTGAGATATGTTAATTTGAACTAAAAGAAACCATTTGCTGTGTTTGTTTTTACCCAACAGACACGAGTACAGAGGAAATGCTAAATGGGCAGGATAAAAAAATATGCACATGTAGTAAAAAGACTGCCACGGTCATGCATGCACTGATTCTAAATACTAAATGTGCCTTTAAACATTCAGGTGAATGTTTTACAGCCAGTGTTAGTAGTGCAGAAGCAGCTAAAATTGTAAATCGTAATATTTGGGATTATTAGGGTGATTTGTTCATTTAAAGGCCATATGTGTCCATCGTGTTCTTTTATCATCATCTAGTGCCTTATTGATATTATTGGTATCAGCCAAATTTCCCTAAACTATCTGGAACTTGTACACAATAGAGTCCTTGAAAATCATGGTTTGGATCTTTTCTCTAACTATTTAATATTGGACCAAGAAATGTTCTCACATACTATGAAAATCAACCATCATTTGAAATGTATTGTTTTTTATGGTTGATGTATTTATTTAATTCTGCTGCTAAAACCAGCACAACATGATAACTCACTTTTAACCTATTTTTCAGATCAGCATTGCCGTGAGCAAAATATTCTCAGCCTCTAGGTCACTGTTTTTCCATAAAGAAAAAAAAACTGTTTTGGCCTGTATTTCATATTTTGACCATAAACACAATAGTCTGTTGGGCTGGTTTGGAATTTATTTTGTAAATATGGCAGGACTGTGGTGACCACAGTCAAAGGGATGTATGTACTTAGAGACCTCAATAAAAGAGCCAGTTGCCTTGTTTTCTGAACTGAAACATCACCTCCTGATGCCACACTGAAACATTAAACTTTGTTTCTTGTCATAATGAATCTGTTAATATTTTTTAATCATGTACAGTCGAGGGTTGAATAAGAATTTTTTTTTGCAGTTCATTAAATGAACTATGTCCTTGTGGTAGCCCAGAATAAACTACTATATTTAACTGATTTTTAATATTACACTTATTTATTTACTTGCATGACAAAGCAAATATATTTTTATGACCCTGGTTGTTCAATTAATTAGTAAATATACTTTTTTTATAATAATATTATTATCATCAGTTATAAAATGGAAAGTGCAAGTGGAACTGATTATGTTGATGACAGCAGCTTTGTTCTATTTAAATTCCCCCATATGCCCTTAAACTTATTTTTATTCCTTAATTCCTTAGTTTGAGCATCTGCATATCATCTTGTTATTTTTGCTATGGAAATGTCTGCTTCACTTCCAAATTATTTCAGACAGAAGCAGGTC